TATTTCTCCTGCCTCCTCCTTAGGGTCCTATTTCATTTTTCCCTTAATCTCTTATTTTGTTCCCTCAGATTAGATTTGTAGGGAAAAAAGAAAAAAAAAAAGGAAAAAAGAGAAAAAAAAAACATTCGTAAGTTTAACTGTGATTTGTTGCTGCTCCTCTAAAACATTTATTTTTCTTTGAATCTCAAAATTTTACAATAGTACAATGGGACACACCCAGCCTCATAAATATTACATTTTCTTTCTTAAAGATAAAAAAAAGTTAAACTTTTATTGGTATGGTATTGAACCGTCTGCCAAGAGTTGTCCCTAAAATATATACAATAGAACAAAATAAATAAAAACAATAATCTTCAAATACATAAAATAAGCTCTTGTTAATGATATAAATAATCTACATACATTGCTAAAATAATAAGAAATAAATAAATTTTGTTATTATTATTTAATAACTTATACGCATATAACAGTTAAAATGCATATAACTGAAAAATGGTATGCATTGTATTCCTATGGTCACTAAATATTTCTGATTTAATTTTAATTTCTTTAATATATTAAAAGAATCTATAACCGAACTCCAATTCGCCCCGATATGGGATAATTCCCCGTTTTGATCCCCGAAAGTCCTTTCAATTCAGAATAATCAAATTGAAATCCGCCTAGAGTTCAAGAAAACATATGCCTTTGAAATTCGTAATAGTATCTTTTTATTTGCTCGAGTAACAGATATTATATTTATAAAAAATAATTCTTCTGTAAGATTTTTTTTCTTTCCGAGTTTTATATTGCAGTATTCACACCCATCCTCTATAAATTAGGTATTTTTAATGCAATTAAGGAGGAAAACCTGGTGGTTGATGCGGGTGGTTGGTGCGTGATATCGGTCAAATCTGCTCCTTGCACAACCGTTGATCAAGAAATAATACTTCCTTACACGGTACTGAACCCAAAATCCTTCATAGGTTGCAGTGCTATAGATTTTTTTTTCTATTAGATATATAAATGTTTCGAGTTAGTTGTTTTATATAGCGTAAATTTTATCTCGAGCCAAAAAAAAAAATAAATAAATAAATAAATAAATATATATATATATATATATATATATATATATATATATATATATATATATATATATATATCCTTTAAATAAAAAAAAGCCGTTTTTAAATTATAGGTTTATTAAATAAAATATGTTTGAACTAATGAACGCAAAATTAAGCATTTGCTTAAAGGAGGGGATGGAATTAATTATAATTGGGTGGGTACTATCATGGAAAAATATCATATAAATTTGAGCTGAAATATAAAAGTGATGAAGAATGTATATAAGATTGATTTTTCTTAATTTTTTTTTTCAAATAATAATAAAAAGTTCATATTTAGCTAATATCTTAAAATAACAATATGTCTTGAAGATATAATGGGGAACTGGCTGTATGACATAGTAACAATATAATATGACTTAAACGGCAAAACACGGTGCTAACTCATAGCCCTACTTTTAGAAAAATGGATGTATAAAAGCTAATGGCAAAAATCGGATAGATATCAATTGGATGGAAGTTTCCTAAGGAGGTTTAGGTCTAAGTTTACATGCCCATATGTATACTTTGATAACGCTCCAATTCTTATATTGAAGATAAAGATCGTTATTTGGGACTTGGGACTATTGTTACCCAAAATCGGTCTTGATCTTGCACTTTGCAAGACCAAGACCAACACCGCCTATCTCTTGCAAGACCAAGACCAAGACTGGTAAAAAAAAGTCGACTTTTTTAATAAAAATTGAGGCAAAATAGTTACTAATACTTGACATTTTAGTTATTATATGTAAAGAATTTGTGTAACCAATATACTTTTGCATTTAACCCTTCTAATTTTTTATTCAGACTTAGTTAGGTTTCTTATATCTAAAAAAATACAGGAATATCTCTCTAGTTATAAGCTAATAGGTAACTGCAAGACTGTTACGAGAGTCTTGCTCAAGACCAAGACCTAGACCAAAACTGAGTTTGCAAGACCAAGACTCGTCTAGGTCTCGCATTTGGGCAACACTACAACGGACAGACATAAAGAACAATGGACTCCAAATTACTTGACGGACACTTCAAATTATCCTTAACTAAAAAACTTATCATCTACAAATTATTCATAAATTCTTTATGGAGGTACAAGATAGAGCTATAGGGCTCTGTAAAAACTTCAAGAATCCACAAAATTGAAACAAAATATTTGAAAAATAAAATCTGAAAGATAAAATAGTAAACAGAAAAATAAATCGATGTGGCAAATGACTTTCTATACAAAGACTTATACATCAAATATTCTCCAGAACGGCATACTTATCTTTGTTTATAAAACAAACAAGTGAGGAAATAAAAACAAAGAAAAACACGCGAAAACAAAGACCTATTTATTATTTAATTTTATAAACAATATAATATTAATACAGTATTAATTATTTTATGATCTTATTCTTTTTTTATTTATTAAGCTGAAAGCATTGAAAATACAGAATTATCTAATATCCCCTGGAAAACAGTTTAATATTTTATAACCTCGTTCTTATTAACATTAATGAAGAAAAGACTTTCAGTGGGCTAATGCAACTTTACTAATATTAATTTTTTTTTTAATATATAAAATACCGTCATATAATATATATATATATATATATATATATATATATATATATATATATATATATATATATATATGTGCTAAAAATACAAGAAATAATAACATGTCAAGGCCTGGGGAAGGATAGTACTCAGCAGAACCTCTTGTCTGACTTGTTTCAATTACTTAGTTTGTCTAAGGAAGGAGATCTCTCATCCAACTCCTTTTTAGTCTTCTCGTATTCAGAGGCTGTTGCCAAGTCTCTTATAATTCTCTTGTTATGTCCGTTTAAATTTATATAAAATCGAGAGTAATTGGCCGTTATATGTTGGTTAACTGTTGGAAGGTGTAGAGTAAATTATTTAAATAACGATTTTAATAATATAAGTAAGAATATTTTTGTCCAGTGATTTATTCTCCCATTTTTTTTTTAAAACTCAATTATATCATTACATATAACGTTTCGAGAATCACTTGTATTCCATCTTCAGACTAGAAATTACAGCATATCGGTATTAACAATTATATATGAACAATAAAGCATTTATCAATACAAATAAAAACAACAATAATTTAATTTTTATTTTATTTTACCTATCTTACCAGTATCCTGCATCAACTTAATTCTCCATAAGATTTGTCATGTTAATAAATTGGTATGTCTTGTGGAGAATTAAGATGATGCAGGCTTCTGGTAAGATTGGCAAAATAAAATAAAAATTAAATTATTGTCGTTTTTATTTGTATTGATAAATACTTCATTGTTTATATATAATTGTTAATAGCGATATGTTGTAATTTCTAGTCTGAAGATGGGATATAAGTGGATCCCGAAACGTTATATGTAATGATATAATTTAGTGGAAACAAAATGGGAGGATAAATCACTGGAAGAAAATATTCTTACTTATATATCTAGAAAATAAGTATCTTCCTTAGGATAAATGAAGAAATTTTAATAATTTGCCACACTTTGTTATGTATAGAATATATTATAGAATATAATATATAGAATATATTTCATATATGGTACAAGTGAGAATAAGTAATAATTATTTAAATAAAATATTCAATTATTCCAACAATTTTAATGTAGCGTTGTTAATCAACGAATATTATATTAGAGCGTAGCATCAACCCGAGTTTTTTTTTTATTCTTGTTACATTTTGTGAAATTTGATTAGCTATATATAGAAAAAAAAATGATTTTGTTTGTTGTTAATTTATAGGACGAGGGAACTGTCAGATGAAAAATATAATACAATGTTCCTCCAATGGTAACATGGAAATATTTATAACAAACTTAATTTTACAGGTCGTTGAGTTCGTGTTCATAATTAACTGTCCATATTTGATCACGAGTATGAAAAAAGTAAATTAGCGAGGACACGTTATTATCCCTGTGTTATAATTACGATACTGGATATGTTACATCGAATTAATACACGTTACAATTAACTACATTGCTCCTGCCGTACGTATAACTTCATCAACAGATAGGGTAATTGAATAAGTTTTTTTTTATAAATGTTCAATTAACTATATCGCGTTATTCGATTAATTTTAATTATTTAGGTTACGAACATTTGAACAAAACAGTACACATAAGTTTAATACATGTATATAGTATTTACTTATTAATAAAAATAGCACCAGTGAAATATAAACTAATATTGCGGCCTCTATTATAAATCCCTAACATTACTGCGGCCTCAATTGATAATAAGCCCCCCTCCCCTATGAACTATAGGTTAATTATTCTGAAAAGTAAAATCACTCTTAAATAAAAGCTTAACCCTGTGAAGTTTACTAGGAATTCTTTTAGAAATTAAGGAAACTACTCCCATGTACATTGGATGTTAACTTAAGAAAAGGCTATTGTTCACACGAAAAACCATATGTGTCATTATTTAGTTAAGATAAAACTTTTGCTGCAAGTAGAAAGGACTAAAATATTATGATAAACATAATATTTTGATCCTTGAAAAAAACATGAAATAATTAAATTGTATTAACGTTTATTTATTGCAAACGGCCCATATTTTATGTAGGTCTTTATCAGAGCTAAAATATGATTAAGTGAGTTACAGTACTAATCTCAAAAAAATCATTAAATACATTAAATCACTAAGAAGTTTAATGAATTTTTTTCTTCCTCATCAAACTGCATTAAAAAAAAATGCACATTCGATGTAGTTTCATAAAAGATAGCATGAGTTATATAGAATGATAGCATAAAGCGGTTCTAATATATGGCTGTGAAACTTGTTAAAATTAAAAGAAAAATAACCGGCGCGAAGTGGGATCAAAGTACTAACACGTGAAGGAGAAAGGCCAATAAAGTGCTTACAAAAACTGGTCAATCAATATCTCATGATATGAAGGCAAGAAGATTAAGGTGGGTGGAGCATGTAGCTCGTAGCAATCCATCTGGAAGCCTTTACGTAACAATAAACTCCTCAATAAAAGAACACGTGGAAGACAAAAAAATAGGTGCAAAAAATGAATATAAACTTTTTCTATGTCAAAAAATACATTTCATTGTATAATATGTGTATAATATGTACAATGCATTCTTAATTCTTGTTTCGGGTTGAATCTCGATAAAATACTATATTCCGTGCATGTAATATTACTTTTGTATAGGATACAGTATGTGTTCAGTATTGAAACAAATATGACTGATCTAAGTAGTAAATAGATTCAAATATTTTTTTTTAAGGAGAAACGAAGTTAGGATGCGTATTTCGCATCCCGAAAAACACTTGATAAGAATTTTCATACCAATCGAAAAAAAAAACATTTCGCCTAGCCTGGCTGGAAATCTAATTTTTTTTTTAAATCACAAACGTTGTTGACATGGCTCCACTTATCCACACGAAAATTACCATGAATTTGGGAACCTATAATATACCCAAAATAGCCAGATTTCCGCAATTAAATTAGGCTTGGAGATAGAAAAAAAAAAGTTATCGATACAGTTTTGAAGAACAATAATTTAGCATTCCAACGGTTTTAGTAACGTCGACTTAAGAGAAAATCATAAGGAGTTATGAATATTTTAGTAAACGGCAAGAAAATTCCTATAAAATTACCTCCAAAAATTTATATTTTTTTATTTCAAAACAAACTCGTATTTAAGAGCTTTAGCGGACATTAAAAATGAATCTGAATTGTTTTTTCATGACAAAAATTCACTTAGCCTACTTTACTGGAAGCGTCTATTGGTTTTTGTAATTTATTACACCTTATAATTCGTTTAATACAATTAGTAATATGATTTTCTCATTTTACACAAAAAAACAAATTGATTAATATAAAATAACTACAGAGCAAAATTAGAAAACAGGAACTTAAAAAAATAATAAAATTTTATAAAAAAATTTTCTCGGTTCCTAGGGTGTATTGGAAAGAACCATCGTACATGGCCCTAATATTTTTCGACCTAGTATCACCAAAAAATGTTTCATTAAAATCGATGACCCCGCCTCCGTAACCTTCTCTTGAATTTTTACAATAAGCTGTCTTACTTTTCTATTGCAGCTCAAATTAAATAGGTTTTCCTTAACTTTTTTCGAAGTATCCAATTGTAATTATATACAGAAAGTAGCGCTCCAGATGCCATCTTCTCTTGACGCACCCGAACGATGAACTCTGCTTCTTTGATCAGAGGAAGGGATAACTAAGAGTCGCCGCCCTCAAAGGACAATTTCAATTAGACCGCGGGTGACGGATGAAAGGAACAAGTCCTCGATCCTCGGATAAAAAAGTAGGAAAAGATATTGAGGTAAGTATCCTTTTCAGGAGAGAGAGCATTGAGAGGCCTCGAGAGAGGAACAGAGAAGAAGAGAGAACTCTCACTTTGTGACAGAGATCCTAATTACCCTCTCGAGCTGATTCTGGGCCGCGATGCGAAACTTCGCCATTCGAGACTGTTTCTGCGTCGCTGACTTTTTAGTGCTTCAGTTTCTAATATCAGGAACACAGAATCATCCAATCTTTAATTACAGGGTGAAAAAAAAAGTTTGTTGATTTGTCCTACTTTTAATTAAATAAAATTGAATGGGTCATTACAGAAACGACAGATGTGACAATTTCATGATTTTGAGAGAAAAAAAAATTCCAAAAAATATATAATAGTGAAATGTAGAAAAAAAAAAACTGGTGCGTCCACTCACACAACTTTCCTACCTATTTTAGACAAGTTTTTATATCTTTACATTTGTCCATCAAGAAACAAAAAGAAATTGAATCAGATTTATTTGCCTGAAAATTGTTCAATGAAAAGATTTGAATACGATTTATTTGATAAACTAAAGCAATGTAAACTGGCTTAAGGTAGATCAGTGTAAAAATTTCAATACCCTCTAATATTGCTGATCAAAGACTTTTTGCCATAGCCTAATTTTGTCAAACAATAATTTCTGTTAAAAGAAGAGGAAATTATGAACTTTCTGAATGATGTGGGCAACAGATTTTCTTAATTTCACTTAGTCATCTTTTTTCTCTCATTAACCCCATTCTGACACCAGGATGTGAACCCGTAATCTTACATTGGAAATTGAATAGTAACTTCGTTAATAGTTGTCCAAAATGAACGATTTTTATATAGTTTTGTAGGTAATGTTTTTTCGGATTCAGGTGGCTCTGAAACGTATAGATCAGTTATAAACCGCATATCGGGAATATGACCCGATCGCAATACTTCCCTTACCTATATAAGTAGGAAAATAAAAAATTAAAGTGTGCTTTAGTCGACACGACAGAAGTGAATAATATACATATCTTCAATAAAACTCGTTATAATTTGGTTTTCTACACTATTTTTTTTCTCTTTTCGCCCCTCTAACACGCCGTCGCGTTGAGATACAATTTCCAATCATAGCTCATCACAAACAGGATGGAATGATGAACATTTGACCTAACGTATAATATGCAGGTCCAATTTTCAGTTTTTGAGATATTTAAATATATATGCAAAAACAATTAGTCGAGTCCGGAAATCTGACGACTCAATCTAATTCACTCTCCACAATAAAGTTCAAAACGCGCCTAAATACGTTTTCACTTGAAAAATTTTTCATAAATACTTTTACTTTTTTTCCCTTCGCGAATATAATTATAATATCATAATTAAACGGCTCAATATTTTTGGAGGCCGCCTTTTTTCTCGAGTTTGTGCTCAAATTATCTTACGATTCGAGTGGAAAGAAAATGGGTATTTACGAGTTTTTATTACCTAATTGAATAAACAAAGTTTGAAACTCTCCAGATTGAAAACGCCCCGATTCCGAGAATTTTTGTAAATAAAATATTTGTAGGTTACGATGAGATTAAGCTATTTGGGAAGTTTCTGGAGGATGTTAATAATTTGATAAAAATGAGTCTTTACCACGGCCTATAGAATGTAGAAAAAGTTTGATAGTTTATCTGAAATAGGTAAACTTGGTATATTTAATTAGGTAACAAACTTAGAAACATCCATGTCCACTTGAATCATGGAATTGAAGAAAAAAGGTGGCCTACAAAAATATTAGGCCGTTTGATTTATATCAGCTCGTTATTTTGGTATGTGGGGGAGTAGAAGTCACACTGAAAGGCACAATGTTTTTTTTTTTTTTCCTTTTTTGTGATTAAATTATCTTATGATTCATGTGGAAAGCAAATGGGTATTAATGAGTTTTTAGTACCTAATTGATAAAACAAAGTTTGACAGTTTCCAGATTGAAAACGCCCCAATAATTTTTGTAAATAAAATATTTGTAGGTTATGGTGAGATTAAGCTATTTGCGAAGTTTTAGATCGATGTTAACAATTTAATAAAAAGGGGTCTGTATCACGGACTATAGAATGTAGAAAAAAATTGATAGTTTATCTGAAATAGGTAAACTTGGTCTATTCAATTAGGTAACATAAACTTAGAAACATCCATTTGCTTTCCACTTGCATAGTGGAATTCGGGAAAAAATGTGGCCTACAAAAATATTGGGCCGTTTGATTTATATCAGCTCGTTATTTTGGCATGTGGGGGAGTGGAAGTCACGCCAAAAGGTCCAATGTTATTGTAGGCCAAATTTTTTTTTTCTATTTTGTGATTAAATTATCTTATGATTCATGTGGAAAGCAAATTGGTATTTAAGAGTTTTTAGTACCTAATTGAATAAACAAAGTTTGACAGTTTCCAGATTGAAAACGCCCCAATACAGAGAATTTATGTAAATAAAATATTTGTAGGTTACGATGAGATTAAGCTATTTGAGAAGTTTCAGGTGTATGTTAATAATTTGATAAAAAGGAGTCTATACCACGGCCTATAGAATGTAGAAAAAGTTGGATAGTTTATCGGAGATCGGTAAACTTGGTCTATTTAATTAGGTAACATAAACTTATAAACATCCATTTCTTTCAGCTGGAATCGTGGAATTCGAGAAAAAAGGTGGCCTACAAAAATATTGGCCCGCTTATATACCAGATCATTATTTTGGCATATTGGAGAGTGGAAGTCACACTAAAAGGCACAATGTTTTTTTTTTTTTTTTCTGTTTTGTGATTAAATTATCTTATGATTCATGTGGAAAGCAAATATGTATTTATTAGTTCTTAGTATCCTAGTAAATTAGTTAATTTAATGAGAAAATGACTCATTTCTAAGATTTTTTTAGATAAAAAATGTATAGGTTATGATAAGATGAGGGCATTCATAAGTTTTAGGCGGATGTTGATAATTTAATAAAAAGGGGTCGGTACCACGGAATTTTAGTCATCTTGATTTCCTTTTTAGAGTCTCTGGAAATAGCACGATAAATCCATGAACTTTCTTATATTCTGCCTAAAGTAAAACCTGAAAATAGAATCGTTCCTCGTTCTAATATTGATATATCGAAAACTATTGTAATAACTAACGTTAGTGATTTATATTCCTAATATAATTGAAGTTACCGTTCCGAGATTGAGGGATGGCATAAGTATTCCCTTCTCTAGTAGAGACATTAATAATGAGATCCCGACTTTAACAGAGGGAGGACCTCGGCCTATAACTGTAATAATGTTGAAACGAGCAGAGATATTTGCATGTTTAATAGCACTAAATCAATTTTATATCCCTTATCCCAAAGCCCAAGCAGTTATTTTTGATTTGTTGTTCTGCCTTTCCTAACTCCCTCAATCCTTCGCCAAGAAAGGGGGATTTTCCTTAAGACAGATTGCGAAACTTCAAAAAAGAGTTCAAGAAGGATTCATATGAAATCGATAAGAAAAAGTAGCAGCCATTTTATTTTATTCAATTAATTGCATCATAACTAGTTTACTCCAGTGAGAAATCTCATATTAAATGATATTCTATTAATACATTTTTATTAATCATGTTCATTAATCCATTTGAAGTATAAAGCCGAATAAAAGCTACACCGAATAAATGCTAAGGTTCCTTTACTGGATTTGATAAGAGTAATGAGGGGAAAATAATAAAAGACTGGTATTTCTACGACTGGGTATGTGCCACAAAGGGTAAGAACCATCATACAGTTCAACAGAAGATAGCACTGGTTCCATGGTTTGCGACTCTTAAATCTCATCTCGACTGCTCTAGCTTAGTAAAGCTGCCCAGGCTTAGGATAAACCATGGTCCAACTAATAAATATCTACATCTAATGGATATAGCTAAGAGTGGTCACTGCCCAACATGCCAATGCTTGGAGGATCCAAGATACATTGCCTTCAAGTAAGTGCTAAAGGTCCGAGAAGCGAAGTAGAATTAGTTTAGGATCGCAAGTTACGGATGATGACGCCCATGACTTGATAAAGTTCTTGAATGATATAAAAGCAGCTGTATAATAAAATTCGCCTCTTATCCTCATTTAATTGTAATGAAACTACTGTCACTTCAGTTTTTAATTATTAGTCTTTCTAGTATAAGTTCTATATAAGGTACATTCAATATTTAGTTAAATCAGTGATCATCTATCTAGAAATATCCAATAAATATTCAGTGTAATTTCATCTTACAATGACAATTAACATATTTTATTGGCAAAACAGGACTAGCTTGTACAAGTCTTAAAGCCAAAAAAAAAAAAGTATAAAGCCAAGTTTAAATATTTTAATTTATTTTATTATTATTATTATCGCGTTTTTACAATTCATATACGGATTCAGACACCCTGAACCTCACACTCAATCAGAACGCCCTGAGAGAAAAAATAAGTAAACTAGTGAAAAATGTCTAAGATACTAGCCGAAACATGATCACAGAAGATTCTTGGGTACTTTAGCTAGTTCAACCAATGACACTTCCCAGAAGGGGCTAATGACATAGTAGAAATCATGCCGAGAATTATATTTTGGAAAGACCTTAGGAAGAGGAGGTAAAATACCTGAACCAAAAAATTAAAACACTGAAATTGTAAGGGCAAGAACTTGTTAAATTTCTCCAAAAACATCTGAAAACAATATTGAACACAAAGTTAATTCCAGAACACCCTGTCTGTACTCGTATAGGGTTTGTAGCTGTCCTGGGGTCTGTCCCGTTACAAACCCTATACCGTTCAGACATCTCATCTCTGCCTGCCCGCTGGAAATGTTCAGTCGTTTAAAATTAGTAACATATATATTAATTATTATTGTCGATAAATGTTACATATATTTGTTTATATTAACAAAATTATTAAATATTTTTTTACTGACAAACAAAACTGTCAAAAGGCATGAGGAATAAGTTGTCACAGTTGACAAAATGATTAAAAGATAGAATTAAAAAAAACCAGGTGTTCGGATTATTTTGTTTGAAGGGAGGTTATAGAGATCGAGAGTTGTGAGATAGACTAAAAACGATATTTGATTATTTTTTATGAAATTTTGTTAATTATTTTTGGTTTAAATTGTTCCTATTATAAATTAATAGGCTAATTATGGATATGTTATCAATTATTTATTATCACCTACAAAGAAGAAA